CAGGGTAACAAGAAAACTTCTCAACAGCTTTTATATTTTATAAGGACAGTGAACATACCATAATAACAGTCTTGAATAGCAACAACTTTCTTTTCATTCATAAAAATGTTGTTGTCAAGCTCATATAATTAAAACCAATAATTTGAGTCCTGAATTGGAACTGACCTCGTTACCAGAGCTTTTCTCTGAGAAATTTAATGGGAGGGGCATGAAACTACTACAAGGTGTCCCCTTCCTCATTTTCGACGTTCTCTTCGATCTCGTCGTCGCTGTGTTCCTCTTCTTCTTCCTCCTGTTCTTCTTCGTTGTCTTCCTCTTCTTCCTCTTCTTCGTCGTTTTCTTCTTCCTCTTTGTTCGTGTCTCCGACGTTTGAGCTATAATCTTCAGGATGCAGGAAGCAATACATCCTGTTTCTTACTTCTGGCTTAAGGTTGGTAATAAGCCTGCTTTGTGCCGCGTTGCTGAAGTAGCTTGATTGCAGTAGGTGAGCGATGAATGTTGCATCCCGTGTTAGCAACAATGCTGCTACATCTTCAACGTTTATGCGCGCTTCCGGAATTGTCATGGAGGGAGGATAAAGAAGACAATTGGGAAGCTCTTTTTCAGCAGACCCCAAATGAGGGGCGTGATCCAGACGATTGGCAACCAAGAGTCCAGTTGAAAAAGGCACATGCCAGTGGTAGCGTAGTTTTGTCTGACCCAGAGAGCGTAGCTAGATTTGGAGACAAATTCATTGTGAAACCAAAGTTTGTGGTTGACTATCTCCAGCATCTTGAGGTCAAAAAAGAAGAGACTGGTGGAAAGGGCAAGGGAAAGTAGGGAGGCAAGAGAAAAGTCCTATGATGATTATCATTGGGTTACTTTGTGCGAAGATGCCGCGAAGCTAAAAAAGCTCCGTGTGCCAGAATTGAACAAATACTTACAACATCATGGGCTATTAAAACAGCATCAGAAGAGCAGCAAGAATGACAAAGTGAAGACAATTATGGGATACTTCCTGCAGATGAATACTCTAAGAACAGGTCAAGCCGAAGTGAGAGGCAGCAATAAATCAGGTCAACTAGACAGCAGTGGTGAAAGCAGTGAGGGAGAAGAAACTGATGATGATTACAAGAGTGATGCATGCCCCTGACTCTGAAGACGACTCAAATGATGTCGTTCTTGCTTTTATCGCCTCAGACGAGGAATATGTAGACGAGCGGTCAGCTACAACACGCTCAGGACGAGCAGTAACAAGAAGAGCTGAAATTGACTTTTCATTCTTTTGAGTGAGGATTTCTCAAAAACAGCTTTCTAGCTTTCAGCTTTCTTTTACTGAATTACGTGAAATGTAACAAAACGAAATTTTAATGCAGTAACTTTTTTAATACCTTATGTATTTTTTTTTCATGGGGGGGGGGGCCTTCCAAAAAATTCCCCTGATTGGGGGGGGGGCCATGGGAAAAAAATCGGAAATTGGGGGGGGGGTCATACAATTTTCAAATAACACTCCTCCAAATCCCACCAGCCCCCCCTACCCCATAAAAAATGAACGGTCCCTAAATTCTACAGAAGGAAAGGTCGGGCAGACCTTTGCTTACTGCATAATCCTTGTTCTTTCTTTGGTCGGGAATTCATCCATTGGAATAATTGTGTACAGAACACAAACTATGAGGAAACCGATAAATTATTTCGTTACAAACATCCATGTCCGACTTGCTGTATTAAATTTTCTTTTTTCCACACAACATAGCCTTGTTATACAAGGCACAGTCATGGCTTGTTGGCAGTGGCTTTGGTCAAGCAATGTGTAAATTTCTTCCTTTCTTATCCGACACGTCCACCATTGTTTCCGTTCAGAATCTGATTCTGATAGCAGTGGATCGATTTGGAGCTGTGTTATTTCCCCTCCGTTCTCCACTCATCACGCCAAGACTGTGTCCCTTCTTCATTCTCGCCACATGGGTTATTGCCATGGCTTATCACTCACCATATTTATTTGTCCACAACTGGTAGAATACCAAGAGAAGCTAACTTGTAAAATGCGTTGGAAAGAGACTTTTGGAGACTCCTCGTCGCTTGCAAACTACTTCCTGGCAGGATTTATTGTATTCATTTACCTGCCGACTGTCTTGTTGGCGATGCTGTACTCCAAGATTTTCGTCAAACTCAGATCAGAAGCGCATCCAGGTGAGCAGTCGACCAACGCCGAGGAACAACGCACCAGAAGAAACAACAGCGTGCTAAAGATGGCCATTGCTATTGTTTTAGGTTTTGTTATATGCTGGGTGCCTTTCACTGTCACTCTCTTACTCCAACTGTTTGCATGGAACAGTTCAATTCCTTGTAGCGCAGCACACTACATGACATTCACAAGGTTTTTAGCCTACACAAATTGTGCTATAAATCCTTTTATCTGCTTCACTCTTAGTAGCAACTATCGTCAGGGTCTGAAAAGACTCATCCACTGTTTTAACAGTGCTTCCAGCTAAAGATTATTGCCCAACTGAAAAGTAAGTTGAAAAGCGAGACTGTGGGCAGCCCCTTGGGATGATTGTGCGTGTGAGTAAATCGAGCGAGGCGAACACTAAAAAGTACATTTGTTGCTAGCAAAGTAACAACAAATGGTGTTGTCGGAGGTAACAAGGACTGCAATTTAAGCTTTCATTACCAACCGAATGCTTCCACGGTTTGCTCCAAGCGATTTTTTTGTCTGGGAATTCAAACGTAAATATGTTTTGTTGAAACTGAAGTCTTGCGGGTGATCTCTCAAAACCTCCTCAACCGCATGGAGTCATATTTAATCGAGTCGGTCTGCGCGTAGGTGTAACTCGACCTTTGTTTAGTTGATAGGAAAGGAGGGAGACTTATAGAAGAGAGTGAGTTAAGGCCGAGCATAACACCTCTAAATCAAATAGAGTTACTGATAATGAAATGTATCAATTGACCACTTTTAGACAGAATAACTCAGCGAGTTTGGCTTGTGGAGAATCTGAACTTAAATATTTTTAATTATCAGGAAACGTAAACTTATTAAAGTATCGTGTTGAAAATAAGCTTTCTTACCGGGACAAATAAATAAAATCGCTATCATTTAATACCGGCGGCTATGAAAAAGTGCAACATCTTTTAGACTTACATGTAGGATTAAACTACTAATCCAAACTCTTTTTTAATAACCAAGGCAAAACATCAAGTCCGAATCAAGCTATTGAAATTAGCAAAAAAGATTTTACATCCCAATTTCCACGCAAATAACATGATATCTGACACGTAGACAGATAATGATCTTGAATCTTGAGTTATGTCTCTCGTCAATAGCGTAACGTTAAGATTTTAGCCAAGAAACGAAATTACCTCCTTTTTGTCCAACCATCCGAAAGCAGCTCTTGGATTTTCCTCTGCTAAACGCCCTTAAAGAAGACTTTTTGAAGCGCACTGTTATCTACTTTGAGCTCTGTCGTTTCAAGCAAGATTGCGAAATTCGCGTAACACTGACTCGGATATGATTATGAAATTCTCGGCAGCGTTGGCCCTCCAATAAATTAAGCCTTTATTGTCATAATGCTGGCAATATATCTCAGCGCTCAATTTAGGGGCCAAAACGAAAGAAAAAGTAGCCATCTTCAAACAAACGCATTGAAACGCATCGGTGTTATGGAGGTGTAAGTAGTGGATCTGAAACCAAACGTAATTTTACGAAAAGAAAAGGATAAAGAATAAACTAATACCGTACGAAAAAAATAAAACAAAACAGGCAAAAATGATAACTACTGAAGTGACGATAATTAAAGTGCCTGTCACCTAAAATTTTTTATCTTCTTATCTGAAACAACACCTTAGTAAAATAACTTCTGCGAAAAAAATTTTGCGATTTGAACCAAAGACGATTTTTTTAGAATTTTTTAAAAACGTTCAAATTTGCCGCCATTTTGGCACACCATTCGTCTTAGTCTCCTTTCAGGGTATGACGTACTTTAAGGAACACGTGACTTTATCGACAGGAAAACATTTAAAGTTCTGGTAGGTTTTTCTGTTTCAGAAAAATTTTCCTCTTGCGAAGACATTGTGATTCAATCCTTACTTGTAATTGATCTTTTTTGTGTACAGCTACTAACTATGAGCTGATAAGGGAAAGGTAATGCGAGTTCCTTAATTTACGTCACATGACGTCATATATGAGTTTGCTAGTTTGCGTGATCAGCGGCGCGGGTGTACCGCAAAAATATGGACTTCAAAAATTGGTTAAAAAATCGCGTTTTGTTGAAATGGTAAAACTTTTTCGCAGAAGTTATTTTAATAAGGTATAGTTTCAGATAAGAAAATATAACATTTTAGGTGATGGGCACTTTAACGATTATTGAATAAGGTTGAGTACCATCTGAAGAATTATGGAGATAGAGGAGGATAACACGTCAGAGAATAAATAATAATAAACAATTACTGGATGAGGTTCTTGTGATATCCGGAATTGACCACTCCAGAAATACCATAACATACCATAATGCTCTTTGTTTGTCACTTCAAAAATTTGCATAAGCACTGTCTTCAGTTTCTCTTGGGAGTTAAAATGGCCCCAAGAGAAACTGAAAACCATGTTTATGCAAAATTTGGGGTGACAAACACAGAGCATTATGGTATGTAATGGTATTTACCGGAGTGGTCAATAATCCAGGTTGAGGTAAGTGTTATCAGCCCAGCCGAAGGCCGAGGCTGATAACACTTACCGAGAGTTAGTTATCTGCTTGCAAATAACTGACCATTCTCGGCCCCAGAGCCACTCGGCTTAATTTGTAACCGACCAGAAAATTCAAACTATGATCTACTGCGCATAACATTTTACTTCGTGCGCTCTCGACCTGCAAACATAAAATCCGTGTCTGAGTTTCGTTGATTGCGACAATCCTGTTTTGTTTATATGCAATAGCAGTGAAGAAGAGAATTGCAGAAGTTTCTAAGAAGTTTCTACGAAGACAACGAGCCTTGACAAAGAAAGTATTGCCTTCTTTGTGCGCTAAATTTTGCCTCTGTCTCGACCGTTGCATCTCCTAGCTCTTCCTGTTGCTCCTTGCTCGTTAAAAATCAAGCGATTGATACTGTACTTGTATGGCATTATTAATTAACCTAATCAGTTTTTCGAATTCCTCTGGGCTGTAAAAGGAAAGGCTATGTGGCCGACTTGTTACAAATGTTTTGCAAGAAGATTTCTCGTCCTAACAGTCCTTGCTTTGGCATTCAGCCGTGTGGCATTTAGACAAAGATAAACAAGGGGCTCTCGGGTTATTTACAACTGATGAACAGTACCAAAGAAGCAGCTTTTGCACAATTTTTCTTGATGAACGATTATGTTATCTGATCACTACATAGGGTAGCACAATATTCGCAACCTTTTAGGTTTAACAATTCTAAAATACAAGAAAACTTAACTGTTTATAATTAGGCATAAATTATGTGAAAACTGGTCTAGATTTGTTGACGATGTTAGGGACAACTGAGGTGTTAATAAATAAAATGATAAATGAACAACAGCCTAGAGTAGTCTATTTTGCATCATACTGGGGTAAGTGGTTGTTGATGATAACAACTGGATTTTGCAGTATGTCACCATTGATAGGGTGGATAACATTATAGCTTGATCAACAGTAACATCATAGTTTACTCGTCAATACTAACCTAACCTAACCTAATCTGAATTGTTGCACGCGTGTATATTTTATTTAAATAGGTTTGAAATGCCCATTGAAAACAAAAATGTAAGTGGGGAGATAATAGGAAGGGTACGTGTGTGAACAGGCGGTATTGCCTGTCTTTTTCATAAAATATATTTTGGAAACTAAATGATATGAAAATTCTTGGTTTGCAACCACGTGACAGGGCGGCCATGTTCGGTTCAAAACAATGGAATTTTTTCTCAAAAAATTTACATGAAAATAAAGTTTAGTTCCCAGAGAGAAATGCTTTTGTTCTTGACCATGGCCGCTGTGACGTCAAGCGCAAACTATTTGTGAAGTTTCTCGCGCGCAGCCAATTTGTTGTGGATGTCGTTTGATCACTTTTATGGTGTAGAAAAAATAAATAGTAAGGAAAATGTAGCTGCAACCAAATAACGTTATACCGTGAGTTGCTTTGTTGTGGTTGTTTGTTTGTGACGTGTTAAAAGCGAGTAATCGCCAGTTTACCTTTGAGTTGTCTTTAAAAAGGTGGAGTATCCGATAACCCTTTTTAAAGTCGCGTGTCTTAACTTTGGGGGGCTACATTTGTAAAGGGTGTCATAACATTCGTCCTTGATAAGAAGTATCGAAACCACCATGATGTTGGATAAATCCATTGCCAGTGATGTTTGCATCGTCCATTGTCCGTTTAGCGCGAGCTAATAGCCCACTTTCGATATATTAAAATTCTAACATGATTCCGAGGCTATAGGGACAATATTGCAAATTTTTGACGACTCCATTGTCTCGCAATTCCCAGAAAAAACTTGAGCCCAAGAAGACCAAACCAAATATAGAAAAATGACCAGAAAGCCTCGGAGTCATGTTTGAACTTAATATATCGAACGTGGGCTATTCTTGGATGGCGGCCACGTGACAAGGCGGCCATTTGATGGTCAGTACAATAGACAATTTCTTCAAGAATTTACCTGAAAATGGAATTTAGTTCCCAGAGGAGAGAAACACTTTTGTTCTTGATCACCATAATTTATTATAACCTGAGATTAGGCCCAATTTTAGCAGCTTCCATACATTCTTTCTTACGTTGTCGCGCTATAATTGGGCCTCTCTTTACGTTTCGCTTTCCTGCCAGAATTTTACTTAAAAAGCGAAACAAAAAGAGAGCCTGATCTCAGGTTAAATTGATTACTTACAGCTGATGTAAAACAAAGAAAACAAAACATCCTTAACAATGAACCTAACCCCGACAATAGTCCATAAAACAAAGAAAATGAATCAACACCGGGGATGAGCCATAAAACCTTTCGAAACATTTTTGCTTTCCGACTTGAGAAAGCCAACCCCTGGCAATTGTACAAGACAATCACTGAGACAGCCATGGTATATAGATGTAGTAACACATTTCTATGTAACAGTTTATCGTCAACTATTCACATACGGAATCCACGCCAAACAAAAGCGCCCATTTATGATGCGCTTACTTTGATGCCATGATAAGGGGGAATAACTTAACAGACTGGATGCAGGGCTGGCAATACGGCAAAAGGCTAATTTATTTGAGGCCAATATTTCAGCTAACAGAATAAGTCTTTCTCAGGGCAGAGCTACACTGAAAGTAGTAGGTTCTGTTAAGACTAATACCTCAACAAACAGCATAATCCACTTTGAAGAAAGTGCGCATGAGGAGAAACACACCACTAAACATCAAGCTTTAAAAATATATTACTCGAAATAAATACATGTGTACATGTGTAGTATCAAATGTACCTGTACGGTAGTTAGTTCCGATTAAAGCATCCACCCCATCTGCAATACAGTTT